ACAGAAAAAAGCTCATAATAAACTGCAGGTTTCATGTCATTCATATGTATTGGGAAGAACAGGGGTCTTGCAATTGATCCCTGTGGAACACCTTTCCTTATTAAATGCAGTAAGTGGTACCTTTGCTGCCACTGAGTTCATTATTGCATGTTTTTGTCTCTGCTTTTCCTTAGGAGCCATGGGGGAAAGAGCTCAGGAAGCCACCGCTCCAGCAGCAGAGAGTGCTCCAGCTTACCCCGACATGAAGACCTCCACCCCAACAACGACAGCTTTCTCAACGGCAACATGTCTGCAGCCATCAACCTCAGCCCCACACTGCATCCTAAGAACTACCAGCCGCAGATCTTCAACCACTCCACCGCCTGCAGCATGGACCTGGCCAGCAGCAACCTGCCTCATCTGCTCAGCCCCGGTGAGACCAAGTCCAAGGGCGACTTTGAGATGAACTTGGGGTCCAAGGTGTCAGATGGCCCAGGGGCGAAGTACCTCAAATCCAACTTCCGCTCACAGCAGAACCGCCACTCTTTTGTAGAAGGGAAGACCAACACGCTTCAGTCAGGGGACAAACACAGCCGACACAACTACATGGAGTCCCACAGCTCCACGCCATCCTCCTCTAAGTTTGCCTACCTGAACTTGTCCAAGAGCTATGGCACGCTTAGCGATGCCAAGTCAGTGGGGAACTTAAATGATGTGCATCTTTATGCAGATGAACCCACGTCTCGCTATTTTCCTTCCAGCTGCCTCGACCTCACAGCTCCGGGCAGCCCAGCGGCCCGCCGAGTGGAGAGGCTGGGACCTGGCACAGGTGGCCGAGGAAGCATGCGCTCAGAGAGAGAGAGCAACACTCTGGACTCCTCCTACAGGCGCTCCTCCACCCGCCATAAAACTTCAGAGGAGTCCAAGTCACCAGACTCCCTGGATCCCGGGGAGAGCGAAAGGAGCCATTCCCATTCTCTCTCTGCCCCACATGACCCTCTGTCTTATGGTCAGGGATACACCAGCCCCTTCTCCTCCCAGCAGAGGCCACACCGCCACTCCATGTACGTACGGAGGGATCACCAGAGGACGCACGGGGGAGACGAGGGACTGTTGGTCGGGCAGGGAATACCCACCAGAGCCAGCAGCCTCCAGCTCCTGTCCCCACAGCTGCAGCACCGCACACTGCCTCGCCACTCTGGGGGCTCCTCCAGAGAAGAAGACATGAGCAGGGTCAGTCCTCAGCCCACATCAAAACTCTCCAGCTTTAGGGAAAGCCTTCAGGATGTAATCATAACAAATGCCTACACCAGGTTTTGTTGGACGGCTCTGCCTCAGTCTCAGTTTGTCCAGTGACGCAGCCAGGACTTATTCTGGTGGCGTCTGAAAACATGGTGTGTGTTTAGGTTCTCAGCCAGTTTATAATGAATTGGAAAGGCAGGATTAGCATAGCTGCAGCTTCATCTGTGAACATTTGAGGTGCTAAGAGTGTGGCTTTCTTTTTAGGACATGCAGTGAATCATGCTACCCGTATATTTATATATACTGTATACACACATATAGTATATATATACCGTGTGTGTATTTGTATGTGCTGCAATGCTGAGCTCACTTCATGCTTCATCATGTCTCCATTAACAGAACGAACAGGCACCCACTGAGGTCACCCACAGCAGACCTCCAATAAGGGACTCCACAAGGGACAACACCGCATCTTTTCACACACAGCGGAAAAAAAGCGAGGTCCGACATTCTGCCTGCACCCACCATTCCCCACCCACATCCAGTCTTCCGAGCGCGCGGATGTGGGTGGATACTGCTGTCATGAACTGCTCTCTCTTTCTCCTTTTTCTCTGTCTCTCCTGCATCAGATGCCTCTTCATTTTCTCTGTGTGCTTTGCTTCCCTCTAATGTGACTTCTTATGGTAGCGCAGTCGAGCTCGTCATCGCATCGCATTTCAGTTCTGGGCTACATTTATAGCCCGCACAGATGTTTTATTATAACAGCCAATCATAAATCAATACGCCCCCACCTTATTTTTCTGTCCCTTCAGGTAAATAAAGGTATCGTTTCAGACAGAGAGGCATGCAAAGCAGGCAGCCTCGGAGATTTTATGTCATAAGTTTCTCTGTTGTGACTCAGGTTGGCTTATATCATGACCAGCAAACAGAAGATGGAGGTTCTTCCAAAGAGAACCGCAACATCTACAGCGAATCCATGCCAAGGCGGGTGGGCAGCTTCTACAGAGGTTGGTTTAATCAGGAGTGATATTTATGGCTGTGGCTTTCTCGCTTTCATTGCTGCAGTAAGGGGGGAAGATTAACTCCAGACACATCACTAGAGGGAATATTATTTTTTACTAATCACTGATCAGCTGCTTCTATATAGAGAATTATTATATTATTGCAGATTCTTGAGATGTCTACACTAAGTTAGAGAGAAATACAGCTGTTTCGCTCAAAACTAAAAATAGCCATCTTATCACCAGACTCGGTGATCTTCATCCTCTAATGTCTGTAGATTTCATAGCAGTTGATTAAAACGGTCGGGCAGTGGGCTCGTTCAAAATCAAAAGCCTTACCTAAATTAAATTTGGCTGATCTCCAGTTCGAGGTCATCTTCGCGGGCATGTCCAGACAGCTGCTATTTTTAGCCCACTCTCTGGAAGTTCTGTTCTTACCGCTTCCACTGTGCACTCGGCTATTTCACCACACACCTCAAACTTGAGAAGAGAGCACAAAACTTGTGTTTCAAACCGACTGGAATTTCACAAGATAACCGCTGGCGATGAGAGCTGGGTTTCCAGCAACAGCTAAGCAGTTTGCAGCCATTTCCACCAGATTTGCCTCACTGTGGTTTTGTCCACTTTCCAAAAATTAAAATCAAGTTAAAGGATCACAGTTTTGACATGTTGGAGGAGATTCAGCACACACTGCAGAAGTACAAGGAGACAGAGATCTAAAAAATAATAGCAGCACTGAAAATGATCCAGTGGTGCACAAGAGGATGATCAACAGGAGATTGATCAAAAGGAATCGTGTTTCATTCTTTTAAGCCCGTCCTGGAACTTTTTACTCAAACCTAATTACAATATGTCAGGAAGCTGCTGAAAGCAGGCTTAAGAGTTTTGACAGTAACGCAGACTGACTGAGATAACTTATTAAAAGATGTGCTTGCCACTGTTTTGGAGTGCACAGTATGCTATAATGGAAAGAACATCTGATGCTAATGTGTTCAACTTCCTCTTTAAAGTAGTGTCCTTGAGGCAGCAGCTATTTTAAGACCAAGCCATGTGTGGCTATTCAGACATGAGGACTGGCTCCATTGTATCACAATAGTGACATTTCAACTGGAGTATAATCTTGAGGAAGAAGGTGAAATTACAGTGAGCCAAACAGGGCGAAATGTAGTAGGTGGTGAGCACACCGTGAGCTAGCAAAGACTGCATGTACCACCGCTACGGTCAACTGGACGCTCTCCTTTAGATATCTCAGGGAGTCACTTCAGCTTTGGGATGATTTTGTGATTGTTGGGGACAAAAGTGTGATGCAGACTCTTCAAGCGTGTTTCTGAATGTGGTTGCCTTTGGGCACTGCAGAATCTTCCACTGAAAATTGAAGAGCGTCCCTTTGCGAAGCCTTAAGCTGAGCGTTATTGCCCTCCTGGTAATGTTACCCGGCTTAATCCTCCTAAAAGGGACCATGACTTGCAAAATTATTTTGTATTAGACAAAAATGGAATTTAGACCAAGCGCAGTAAAGATCCAAAGGGCTGTTTTTTCCTCATAGACTTCAGTACGGCCAAACTTCTTTTTACAAGCAGAAAGGATGCAATAATAAGCACTTCTTTGCTTCACATTTATACAGTCTGTGGTCTGAACAGGACTTCGCCATAGTTGTTGCTAACCGTTGCTGCTCTACACACGTAACTCATTCACATACATATAATGCTACACCTGTGCATTAGCATTAAAATGGAATAAGCTCTGGTTTGCTGAAAATGAGTTAAACCATATGGAAATTTGTGCATTGTTTGGCATTAGTCCATTTCCATAATACGAGGGACGCAAAAACTCCATCAGGGTATTTTTATATTCGCTTTTTTAGCATTTTTGGGGGCGGCCAATGTTTGAAACTTTGAGTTTGACACACGATTACTTTAGTGTATGAATTTGCTTTAAAGTCTAACTTATGGAACTGCACAGGAGCCTTTGTGGGCGCCATTGTTGTTTGCACTGGTGTGTCAAGTCGTACTTGGAGAAAAATCTTGAGGAACGCTTTCAATTCAATTCAATTCAATAAACTTTATTGATCCCGAAGGTTGGCCCCGAAGAAAATTGGGTTGCTTTTATTGAAAGGAAGAGGAAGGTCAAAAGAGAGAAAAGTAAAACATCTAATTGAAACAGAACACCATCGATCGCATTAGCGAAATGCACAAGTTTGTTACATTTTCAGTTCGCTGAGGTCTTTTGCGTGTGACAATCAATTTCCGATGTTTACACGGCATGTTACAGCCAAGCCGACCTGTCACAGCTGTTAAAGTCTACAGCACTGTTAGTTATGGTATAAATTTCTATTTACTTGCAGCTTTTTAAAATTATACTCCCTGTTTTTTGTTGTGTATCTTTGGAAATCTCGAGTTATGTTTTAATCTTAATTTATTTGTATTACCCGCCTAAACTTTAGATATATGTTTGGGTCAGAGCTAGAATTATGACATCTAATGACCTGTGTTTATGTGTTTATTTCTCTGTATATTGGACGTAAATTAACCCATTTGTTGTGTTTGTTGAACAGTCCCGTCTCCCCGGCCAGACAATTCCTTCCACGACAGCCGGGGTCAGAGTCGGGGCTCGGGCTTGTCTGGCGACGGCGGCAGTTTGGCGAATCACTCCAAACGACAGCCGGCGTTTGACCCCTGGTAATTATATCTTCTAACCACGACCGAAAATAGTTTCACACCAAAAGAACAGCAGCGTTTATTCTCTTCGCTGTCTGTGGCGCTGTCAGAACAGTATACCGTCAGATTTAATTTCACACCGGCCACATGACGTGGCATTTTTAACAGAAATTCTTACTGGGAGTTAAAACTTTTTAGCCGAGACATCACGCTCATTACTCTTTGTTTTTATTTCAGGACTGGCCCAGATACTGTAGTCTTGAGTGCCTCTGAGCCTTCCAAAGAAAAGGAGAAGCAGGGTTTCTTCAGAGCAATAAAGAAGAAAAAGAAGAAATCTCAGATGGTATGTTGTGTGTGAAGTACGTCTGAGGACTTACGCCCACATGTGGATGCAGTGTTTTCCCATCTATGAGCCTCATCGGCACCTTTACAGAAATATAAAACCATTTATTGTTGTTGTTGTTGTTGTCATGTGCATCATGTTTACCTCTACCACCAGTCATGTGCCTCTGTAATTACAGATGGAAGTCCCTGATGGAAGGCCTCCTGTCATCAAGAAATGTCTTTTCCCTCTGTTTAGCCCAAAGAATAACATAAAGCATAGTTCCTCTGTGAGAGTCCTCCCTGTAGTGTCCTCTCCCATGGTACATGCTGTTTTACACTATCCTACTCACCTCCTGCCTCTGTGTCACCCATCTAACATTGCATGCTTTAACAGCATTGGTCAACACTGTTTTAATGTGTGATTTTTAAGCCTGGTTTTCCTGGTGGTGAGTTGAGTGAATGAATCAATAAACCAGCTGGATCCATCTATTCGAGAAAAAAAAAGCTCCCACTTTGAAGAAAAGCATGCACTTGACTGCAATCGGTTTAAAAGGATGGATCTGACGGGTCATTTTTGTGCTTCTGATCACTCGCCAGTGATTTCAGCCATGGCCCTAACAGCATGTCTCTGCTTATGAGCTGAGGATGGACGAGAGCGCTCAGGCTTTAGCTGAGCACACACGGTTTCAGGAGTTTGCGTGCTTGTTTTCACAAAGCTTTACTGCTTACCGGCATCATGCAGAGGCATTTGATCAATTTCTCTATGTGCACCTAAACCCGTGACTTTATTACAGAGCAAAGATCAGAAAGTGATGGTGGAGCTACGATAGTACTTGCTTAATATAAAAGCGACCACATTTTGGCGTGTTAAACTAGCTGCCAGCTCTGTGGCAGTGGTGGTTCAGCATGAAACAGGTGTTTGAGGCTCTTTCTTCCCTTTGCGTTTCTATTTATAAGTGACAGTTTGCTCAGATTCGGGGAGGGGGGGTTACATGCTGATGACAGAGCACAAATAAATGCAATCTGGCCAGGAGGAGGAATCAGGCAGTCAGACTCGGAGTCGGTGGAAAACGGCATTTACTGCATGAAGAGGATATCATTTGAACTGCGTTTGAATTACGCTCAGAAAACATCTTTTATTTATCAGAAACGAGTGGAGTGTTCTCTTCTCTTCCTCAGATCAGCAAACACATTGGGGGTTGGCTTCTGATGCATGTTTTTTGTCCGTTTTCTTTTTATTTCTTCTTCACTGCACTGGAGATCAATAAGTAACAACGCAGGTTATCAGATGTAACTTCACATTTATGTCTGTGATGAATGAGCGCATGTAAAGGGTAACATGAAACACAGAAATCTGTTTACTGAAGACGCTCATTTCCAGCTCAGACTCTGATAGAGTAGCTTTTGCATGACTCACAGTTCAAAATAATCCTTATTTAAGTTGATTAGCTGTCTAAAAAGCACAATTTTAGCTCTCTTTTCCTCTCAGGTACCTTTCTACTGATTGGCTGCTACTCAAAAACAGAAGGTGCAGGGATTGCCTATTCTCTCTGACATCATGCAGAACCAGAAGTAGAAAAAACTGTTAGAAATGAGTGCTTAGGCCAGTTGGAAACGATATAAATTAACTTCATAAATAAAAACAGTTTAGCAGATTATGTGAGTGTTTTATGTTGCCCTAAACATTGTGCACTGCTGTCCTAGTCATGAGTGTGAAATGTGATTGGATGAGTAAATTATACCTCCGTGCTCTGTGTCACAGGTTTCCAGTGAAGGCGTGGATACGGTCATCCAAAAGTCCTCCAGGTCTTCAAGTCACCAGAGCAACCGCCACAGGTCACGTGACAAGAGCAGAGACCGGGACCAAGACCGAGACAGGGACAAGGACTGGCCGCCTGAGAAACTGTCCGATTCACACTCTTCGGTGAGAGTTCTCCTCGTGCGCTGTTGTGAAGTGCTTGATCTAAACATTTATTCATGAGCTGCGTTTCGTTACATACGCTCTTCCCGAGGAGAGCGCCAAATAGAAATAAGAGCAGGTATCCTCGTCTAGAAGATCTAATCAATGCAAATCAGCATCACCTGCTAACCAAGATGTCAGGGAGAGAAAAAACAGATGGCGAACACAAAGGGTGATAATTTCTTCTAGAAAAAATGCTCTTTTTCTCTCCTAAAGATTGAAATTTTGTATAAATGTTTCAAGAACTGAACTGTAACTGAGCCAAATAAGTTGCAGACTTTTATATTTTACCAATTTTCCTGTCTGTCCAGGATGATTTAGTAATCAAATAAACTGTGACTCAGATGTTGGTGTTTAATAAAAGCAAAGACACACCTTAATCCCTTCCCTGCAGTAATCATAAGAGACTGTCTGACTGGACTGATCGTCCGTCATCGACGGGATTAAACCTGTCGTGAGCGCAATTTTTCTTTCCTCTGATATTTTGTGTTCTGTCGTGTCTTTCAGAGCCAACCGCTGAAGTCGCTGCGCAAGCTCCTGCACCTTTCCTCCTCATCGTCCAACCAGACCGCATCTTCTGACATGCGCTACCAGCCGCTGCCTAACTCATCCTCTGCTCAAGGCGGTTTCACCGAGAGCCGGGGTCACTCAGGGGTCAGCACGCCCCAGCTCAAGGCCCGACAGTCAGCGTACCCGCTGCCCGGACAGCTGGATTCGGGCTGGCACACGTCCGCCCTGGGCCGCCCCGAGGGCAACCCCTACCCGGAGCAAATGAGCATCAAAGGAGGCCAGAACGGGCACGGCTTCGGACGCCCGTCCAGATCTCGTATGCCAAATCTCAACGACCTGAAAGAGACAGCTCTGTGATCTCCAGCGCCCCACTGCTCTCACGCGTGTGTCAGACTCCTCTGTTACCACCTCCCTCCTGTAACACCTGCTCCACACACACACACACACACACACACACCAAACCATCAGTTCAAACACTGCTTGCAAACAGGCCAAAAGCCTTTTTACGTCCAGATTTTTTTAAAGCTTCCATGTTTGATAGACTTTATATTAATACCTATGTAATTCTGATTATAATTTGTATTATAAAGTAAATAAATTACAAATTCAGTGTATATATATATAAATGGATAGATAAAGTGTAGATTTTAAGTGTAAGTATTTTTGTTTCTATTAAATATAGAAATATAGTACATTTTACTGCGTAGTATTATTTAAGACTAATCTAAGGCATTCGAAGCAAATGCAGTTTTATCAGTTGTTACAATAGAGATTGGTAATGTCAGTATCTCGTGTTCATCTCGTCCAGGATTGTAATTCTGTGTCCAAGCTGTCTTGCCTATGGATGTGCTCTGTCAGACTGGTTACAGACGCTCAAATGTGCAACTGCGAGCCAGTGCAGCCGTGTTGAAATCTAGCTAAAACCTGTGCAGTTTCTCTGAGCTGAAATTGACAATCTAAAAGCTTACGTTTTATTGCTCTTTTCCTTCTTTCTTTTTTCTGAAAAGATTTTAGGTTTTCCGTCTTAAGTGCAGCCATTTTAGAAACTACGGTGCCATCAACTAACAGAAAGCCTAACCTACATCGCCCTCTGTGGGAGATATCGAAGCACTGCATTTCCTGTTTTCTGACTGAGATTGTCAGGCACATTTAGACTTTTCCATGCACTGTATGTGTAAATGACCATTTGCATAATATAAACCAATGTTACGCAAATAGAGCAAACCTCACAGTTTAAAACAAATGTGTATCTATACAAAGGAGATGCAGGAGCGTTAACGTGCCCTTACGGATGAATTATAACGTGTTCAAATGTTCTGCAATGCTTTGAGCAAACGTCAACAAACATCTGCAGCTGATAACGAAGGAAGTGGCTTTTCTCTGAAAACTACAGGATTCAATAAAGACTCTGTTGTTTGATTTTATTTTATTTTTTAAACTTCCAAGTGGTTCTGCTTGTTTGACCAGTTAAAAACATGTAGAAATGCACCCAAAAAAAAAAACCATTTAAAGTTTAACTGCTGTAAATGTAGATTTCTTTATTTTTTAGGAGGTAACAGCAGTTAGAGGAACACATAAGCCATTCTGGGTGTATGTGGTACAATGACTCCCAGCCTGTGAAAATAACCCAAGCACCACTCCTCCACCTGTTAGCTATTTAACTCCACACATTACAATATTTAAAAGTGGATATTACAAGTTTTCTTTGTTTAATACACTTAAACTGTCAATATTAGGGTAATGGAACAGCATCTCTTTTAGTAACCCTTTTAGCCAGACTGACTGACTGACCAGATGTTTCTGCCATTCATACGTCCATTTACTTGATTTATATACATTCAGTTTTTCTACCAAGCACATTTTCCTTAAATATCAATTATATGAGTAATTAAACCTTTGATTTTGTTAATTTCAGCTGCATTCTACTCCAAATGATTACTTCATGTTTATTGAGGGTAAATAATAATTTTGTTTTGAGTTTACACTTAGCTGTTTCAACTATTTATCCATTATTTTAATTACTTCCACCTAACCATCCATTTAAAAGCTCCAGCTTTTTCAGCTAGTTTAATGTTTTCCAGCTGCTATTTTCCCATTTATTAAATACTTTAAGCTGAACTATTTTTCACATTTATCTATTTCTCTGTTTTCAACCGTTATTCCACTATTAGCCGTTCCAGCTATTAGTTGAACGTCATCAGCCGTTATATTTTTTTATTTTTTTGCAACAGTTTCTTTTCTTCTTCTCTTTTTTAATTGAAGCTAAAATATGCTTATCCCAGCCAATTATCGATGTACTCTGGCCTTTTCTTTCTTTAGCCATTTCACCATCGCCCCCCTGTTTTCTGACTGAGGTCGGCTTTCCTTTAACATTAACCGTTCGCCCATTTCTTTCCACAGCTGTAGTATTTCTTTCAGCTGCAGCATCCTCGCCCTGGTTGGGAATCACTGTACTGCTGTATTTTTAACTGTTTGCACACACTGAACCACTTGGGATATGCTTTGGAGAAATCTTAAAATGGAAAGGCAGCGGGGGGGCAGAATCTGTACTGTAACGTTGTTTTTCTGTTGGAAATAAAGTGCCATGAGAGTAGCTTGGCAGAAATAAATCCTAACCTTTTTAATGTTGCACTTTGAAGAGACTACGTGGCTCAGCAATATTGCTCTGTAAATTCTTCCTCACTTTCATGTTCGTGTGCGCAGTGTGTGAATATTGAAAGACGAGGGAGGGGGGGGGGCCCCCGCCGGCTCCTGCTGTAACGCGCTGAGCCCAGACATGACCGTGTCGTATTGTGTGTGTGGTGCATCTGTAAGGACTGTGCACACTCTGTACTTGACACGATACGTTTCTCTCTTTGGATTATTGTTTCGCTGAAGGAGCACCGTGTATTATATTAATACTGATGTGTGACTACTTGTTTGGTAATATTTATAACAGAGGATGTTTATCAACTGTTTAAATGAAATCAAGTATTAAGTTTGTGCTTTTATTACAGACACAAATTAGTAGCATAGTCAGTGTTTATCTGCTTTTTTTTTCCAACAGAGCATTTACATGACAGCATAAACTCCCAGATGAATGCTTAACAATTTTAGATTATTCATGTTTACATATGTAACAGTAAATCTCAAATAAAACAAGCCCGTTTGATTTGACTCTGAACATGTAGAAGCTTTTTTATTTCCTGACACAGTTAATAACTGCTTTATTGAAGGTAACAAATTTCAATTTGAGCTGAAACAGTTTGGTGTTTACGTAACAGCACAATGCGCTTTTGGAAACTTTAATACAGACAAATAATCCATCAGAGGACACCAGAGATGTCCACCTGCCCAGAGAACTGTGAGCCTCACCAAATGGGGACAGACTAGACTTGTATCAAAGGACCTTACAGTGTTAGACAAATATTCCCCTTTTGGCAAGTGACAGGGTTGGCAGGGGAATGATGGTCAGTGAGGTAAGAAACACTTCAGGTGCATTTGTTCATGCACATCAGCAGCTCCATCCTCATGGCAATGCGGGTGTGCCAGCCCAGCGGCAGCAGGCGTATATAACGAGCCACAATAGGCGGGCGCAGCAGGTTTTGTACCGTGGAAGAGCGATCGGAGTTTCCGTAGAAGACCTAAACAAAAAGAAAGTACACAGCATTTAAACATCCAGAGTGCTCATTTTGTATCATTTAAACACACAATAATCAGAAAAGGCTCATGAAGAGGACCTTCTATGATTGCTTCCACCTCCATAGTTTTATTCTTTGAATAGCTTTGCATGATTTCACAGTTCAAATACTGTAATCCTTATTTCTATTAACACTCAGTTCATCTACTATATGAATCAAGCAATTTTAGCTCCCTTTGACTCAATTTTACTCTGATTAGCTGCTCATCATTAACCAGAAGCTTTGATTTGCACAGCTGTGTGCATGATGTGACCATATTAGTATCCTATATTTTTGATAGCTTAGAAAGCCAAGCCAAATAAACTCGGCAGCAGCTATGTGTGGTGAACTACTAAATCATTCCCGAGGACTTAAAGCAGTACCATATATATAGCAGAAAAGCATAATAGGTCCACATAAAATTACAATATAACAGCCTCTTAGTTGGATATATTTAAACACTTTAGTGTGTACTGATTGGTGTAGGCCAGAGATTTCAAACTCATTTTATATTGTGAGCTTTATGCGGCTCACTTCGAGCATAAATCAAATCAAAATTAATTTATATAGCACATTTAAAAACAACAGTTTTGATCATAAAATAAAAATAAAAATAAGACAAACACAACGCAAGACGAGACAAACATAGAAACCAACCAAATGATAATCAAACTATCTTACATCAAAGCCAGAGTAAAAAGATGGGTCTTTAAACGAGATTTAAAAGACTGAACAGTCTCAGAAGAGCGAATGGCAAAAGGGAGGTTGTTCCACAGTCTAGGAGCTGCAATAGCAAAGGCACGATCGCCTCTGGTTTTCAACCTAGACTTAGGTTGCATTAAGATCTTAATGCTTTTATAGGATTATACAAATGAATAAGTTCTGTTAAATAGCTAGGGGCAGTGTTATTTAAGATTTTATAAGTGAGGTGGACAGATGAAATGCCCTTCTCTGTCAATGTAAAGATGTTTAACTGCACATATAAACCCTGAGATTACTGCAATTTAATAATAATGATGGATTGCATTTATATAGCGCTTTTCAAGGCACCCAAAGCGCTTTACAATTCCACTATTCATGGAAGAGGCTGCCATATCGCGCCATCGGCCCCTCTGGCCAACACCAGTAGGCGGTAGGTAGGTGAAGTGTCTTGCCCAAGGACACAATGACCAGGACAGAGAGCCCAGGGATCGAACTAGCAACCTTCCGGTTACAGATGAGCTTCCCAACCCCTGAGCCACGGTAATCCCAATAACAGATCTCAGTTTTTCCAAATTACAAAGAAATAATGCTGAAGTAAATGAAAGTGGAAATTTTGGGGGTAATTTAAATGGTAAAAAAGCCCACAGGACTCAGTTATTATGACGCTTTCATATGTGACTCCTGTTTAGTGTACCTACCCTGTTATTTCCAGTCTGGTCTTTGTAGTAGATCCAATTAAGAGTTTCTAAAGTGCGGTACTGGATGCTGTATTTAGTGATCCACTCATCAGCGTCGCAGCGGCCCTGGGTGAGGACACCCGACACCACGCTCACCTCCTTCAGGTCGATCTGGATCCACTGGTACTGATCGTTGAATTTGGACAGCCATGCGCACCTAACAAAGATTCACATTCCCAGTTATTTGTTTATCTGGGGTGCGCTGTGTGACACAAACTGGAGACTGGGTGGCCTTGACTCACCCAAAGCCCTGGTTGTTAAGGCGAGCCTTGTTCGGGATCCAGGAGGAGTACCAGCCGGTGTACTGGTCCTGACTGGAGCAGCTGATTTGGTCTGAGGTCACAGATCCAGATTCAAATCCCAGCGGTCTGTGGTACGGACATTCTGTGAAAGGAAACATTTCCAGGTTACTGTGGCATTAAATCGTATGAATTCCTGAAAATAAACACTTAGTAAACTTTCTAAACACTTCCAATGAGCTGGGATGCAGCGATTGGTTCGTTTTTGTGTTAAAAAATGACTTAATGCCATTTGATGTTTTGAAGCAGAGCACAGGGTAGATTTAACTGAGCACAAACATTACACGTTCACATGGTAGCAACTACACTATGTTATGTTCTGTATGGGGTGGTCATGATGCTATACTATCTGCCTTTTGCTTAGGCGAGCAGTGAGCAACAGGTACCAACAACCTTACTGACATTGTGCAAGCACAACAAAATTACTGTTGTGCTAAGCTCATCAAATAACAAAAAAATAAATAAAAAGTAGAAAATGTTAGAAATATGAAATATCAAAATATTGGATTAACATTGCAAAAAAACAACAACTGCATATTTGTAGAAAACCAAATCAGCACAAAGATCTCACACCAGCTGTCAGCACTGTTGTGGAGAGGTGATGAAATGGACTTGTTTTGCAGCCACAGGACCAGGACACTTTGCAGTCATTGAGTCGACCGTGAGCTCTTCCGTATATCAAAGTATACTAGGGGCAGATGTGAGGCCACGTGCCCCGCAGTTAAAACTTGCGCAAGACTGGGTCATGAGGCAGGGCAATGATTAAAGCCCAGCAGCATCTCTATCAAGGAATCAAGGTGCTGCCAAGGCCGAGTCAAAGTCCAGACCTCAGCCTCACTTTAATGCTTTTCACCTTAACCTCAATGAACTCAAGGAATGCTGTGAAGAAGCGTGCGACAAAATCCCTCCGCAGTGATATGACAGAATGATAAAGTCATATGGAAAACAATAATTTCAAGTCATTGCTGCATAATGCTTCTGCAGTTTCACAATAAATAATGACACGGTGGAATATGTCATGTGTCGTCCTTCATCTGATGCATTATTTACCCAATGTTTAAGACCAGGTAAGGACCAGATGGTTTTCCCGGTTGGTTAAACCAAAGAAGTGAAACAGGGTTTACTTTCTTTTTTCCATGATGATAAATTGACTTCAGGTAATAAAAAATATATCAGTTACTTCAGATGAAAATTACTCCCTCTCACCCCTGACTGGATTGGTTTGAAGCTGTCAGAAAAGCGGATGATAGAAGTGATAGAAGAGCTGCCTGAAATGAAATGTTTATTCCATTTTAAAGACATTAAGAACGCAGCAAAGTATCCTCTTCCAGCTTTTCCTCGTGTAATAGTCCAACTTTGCTAATCAGAACTCTTGCATGATGAGGTAGAAGAAGATGATCGGGGCATTTTCTGATGTGTGCTTCCTTTGCTGGTATCATAGGTGAAGGTCATGGCCTATTTGGGCTCCCTAATCTGTTCGTCACATTCCAGCACAGGTAATGAGATTATCTGAAAAGCATTTGCCTGTGCAAGCTTCTTCCTCACAGCTGTTCATTTCTTAACCTTCAGTGCAAGCCTCTTTCATCTTACAGGCTGAAAAACTGCAAGATCAGAGAGGTGATTGTGCACTGCTGCAGCGTGAAAGCACATGAGGACACAGCCAGCCTCCATCAGCTGTTTGATCCATCACAGATGTTAAATAAAGATCCACAGGACACAACTCTGCCCACCATTCATCTTCACATGCGTGACTTTCTCCTGCAAGTTAGTGTCCTTTGTATAAAGGGGAACCCATTAATCACTTTTTAAAACCTAAAAAAGGGCATCCAGCATGAGTATAAGTGAAACAGACAGAGGACTACACAGGTGGAGTCCTCACCTGGCATGCAGTTCAGCAGGTGACTTTGAGATGGTGGCGGTGTTGGCAGTGAGGTCGGGGGAACAGGTGGGATGACAGCAGGGATGCGTGCAGATTCGCAGTCACAGGTGCAGGCTTTCTCTTTTGTGCTCCAGGTTTCGATCACCTCCTGGTCCTCCTCCTGCAGGTCCAGGTCCTGGATGACCTCCTCCTCCTTCTCCTGGAGATCACACAGGGTGGAATGAATCGAGAGTTTGCTCTCAGAGTTTAAGACTTTTAAACCACATTTTAGACCTTTTTGAGACTCTTTCTTACCTCCTCTGAGTGAACAGTGACAAGGGCTATACACCCCATTGACAGAAGCATGAAACGTAAGAGCAGATGATAGAATAAAATGTGTAAGAAAAAAGAAAATGACCTAAAAGAAGCACCATGTCAAATAATCTTATGAATTATTGGATTGCATCTGAGGATTGCATGAAGGAAAAACACCAAGGAAAAGCTTTTTACCCTCTTTATAATTTCACTTGCAGCAGCAGCTTTTTTGTGTAGTACTACTCACTGCTGTTTTAATAACTTGTGGGACCATTAGCATTATCATAAAGGCACAATAACTGTTGCGATTATTTTAAGGCAGGATCAGCTGCACAGTGACTTACCCTGAGAGAGAAGCAGGAGGAAAAGCACAGCAGCTCGACAAGCAGGCATCTCCATCTTTCCTCTTCAGCTGTGCTGAAATGAGATGTGTATGATACCCACTGCAAGTGGATGGGATTACTGTAATCCACAGGCCTGCAATGGCCTTACCTAATGCTCCTTATTGGCCCTTAGACACCTCCCTCAGGTGCTCTTGCACTGAATGTCATCACCTCATCAATAAAAAGTGGGCATCATTCGTGATGGCAGTGGTGTCTTTGAGGTTTTACACTCAGTTGAAAAAGCTAATTTTGTCACTAAGGTCATTTATGGTCCTATTATACATCACACATTTGTGTTTATCATAAATATACTTTTTCATTTATCTGTGCCGGATAAAGGCTGCTTTAGGTAAGCCATATCTAGACACAGACCAGTACCAGCGAATTAGTATTCAGTTTGGGTACAAACAAATATGATCAAATAGGCCTGAAAGCAGCAGGTTTGTCTATGACAAAAAAATCACTTTAAATTCAAAGAAATCAGAAATAGTTACAAACATTTTAATATTCGTTTAATATGTTTGACTTACACTGGGATGGATCACAGTTACCCACAATTGCCATCATCCATAAAACTCACAACCTACAAGTTTAATAATTTGTTTAAAAAGGCTACTGTAAATATAGGCGGAGATTTTAATTTTGTAAGCTTGAGACTTACTTACAATTCAGAGTTATCCCAGCATGAAGAGATGGGATGTAATCTCACATCTGCTTGTTTTTGCCAGTTATCTGGCTGATAATTGTAATTTATAACATGACAAGTTGCCCTAACGTGCCTGAAATCTTATAAAAGCTGGTTGTTTAAATGTGGGTCAAAAAGATGACCATGGCAGATGTTGCAAGTTGATTGTTCCAAAAGTCTTATTTCTAGAATATTGAAGCTTTGCAGTGACGTTAATCCGTTCAAATCCCCAATCAGTGCTGGCTGTCCAAGTAAAATAGACACACTAGAGTTCCAGTTAGGAAACCACAACAGTTTCCCCACCAAGTAAGCACAAAGTATTCGGTTTTGAGAACTTAATTTTCTATTCAGATGTTCATTTTGCCCTTTAAAAAGTTTGCAATCCTGCACCTCTACCATTAAAATGTCTTGGAGAGCTTTGTTTATAACACCTTTAAGACCAGATCCTCAGGTGACACACACACCTGCTTTTAATTAAGATCCATTTCCATCCTTTCATCATCATTTTCATGTCATTTACCGATTTTACAGTATGTTTTTGTAAGTGTTGGCCTAGATGTTTTTTAGGTTTTGCATATATCATATTCTTCTACAGCACATGAAAGTTATTGGCTAAACCTGATACGCTGTATCCTTACTCTTATGAGAATACTTCTGTGTGTTTTAACTGACAAATAAAAAAAACAAAGCTAACAGTAAGTACCGAGGCTCAGTTCAGCACTGCAGCTTGAATTGCCCAAGATTTCAGTTTTAAGTGTGGAAAAAGTTCTCTCAGGTGTGTCATCACCTGACAGGTTGTGGACTGAATGGCCACTCTGCAGCACACAAACCAAACTGAGTCAGATGGGAGACTTAATGTATGTCGGAATGGCGCAAGACTGCTATTAAAATGTTTGAAGAGTTTAGTGAATGATCTGATGTGTTTCAGCAGGCAAAAACTTAACTCCGTAAAAAATCCACAGAAAGGGACGTCATTAACATGCAAAAGTAGAAAATAAATAGGGTAGGGAAAATTTAAAAAGCCAAAAATACATTTTTTGCAACATACTGTGGTGCTTTGTCTTTTTGTCTTTGAATGGTTTTTGGCCAGCAGAAACTATTAAAATGACAAGGAAGGGTAAACTTAGACATAAGAAGAATATAATGTATATAGAGAGATTATATTAAATAATAAAATACATTTTTAATTTTGTAATAGATTCAGTGTAATCAATTTAAATATTTAATTATTTTTTAGATTTAGTAATTTAATTTTTATTTTTTCAGTTTTTGTTCTCCATATCTTTTCAGTCTCACTTCAGGTTGTTCCGTCTCTGTTTAATCATTCAGCATATGTTTGAGGTAATGAAGTTTGAATGGGCGAGACGGAGTGGTTTGATTGCTGTCCGTAGCAGCCAATCATTTCTATGTTGTCTAATTAGCGCGTTGACAAAGGCGGGGACTACAAAAACGTGTCAGCCAATAAAAATCATCATGTTCGCCCTAGTGGCCAATCAAAAGGTTGTTATAGACTGGCCGTGTTTCGGGGTGGTGTTGGGTGGCTCATTTCTTCCGAGGGGGGGATACACAGTGTTATTATTCAAGGTAAGTAGTTTTGAATGTGTGAAATTTTGTTTTCCCATTAAAATGTACAAACGCGCTCGGTCACCTGTGGGTTTTTTTAACAGGCTCTATGATAACAGGACGTGCTAAAGGTAGCAATCGCTGAATAACGGTGTTAACGGTACTTCCTTTCGTCTGTGTTCATAGCGGCTGAAACGGGATGATTTCAGTCATGTTTCTGGTTTAGCTACATGGATTTAAATGCTTTAAAATTTGGCCGTAAAAATAACTGTGGGGTTGCATGTGTTTGAATGCATTTAGTGAATTTAAAACATGCCCTGTGCGCTGTTTTCCGTCAAGTGTTTACCCTGTATTTAAAACTGAAGTGAAAATAGTGTTGGTATGATGGAGGGCTGTCGAAGTCGATCGATATAGCTTTTTTTTGTACCGATACCAAGACTCATTCTTAGTAATCCAGGGGATTGGTATCAAAATTTACAGTCAGATAAAATGCTGGTGCTTTAGCAATATGCAGACCACATTTTATGACAGGAAAGCTGTTATTCAAAGCTTTGCTGCTTTTTTTCTAATTACTTATACATTATAATGTGTACATGCAACGATAATTGGAGTTGATGCGTTATTGTTCTGTTATTTACTCTTAATTTACTCACTTGTTTTTGGCATGCCACTTTGTCAACTTTTTAGTGTTGTGCATTTTCCCATCCTTATTTTTCATGTATTTTTAAGGGAATTTGAATAAATTTAAATGTATTACCAATACCAAGAGAAATCCTTGCAGTAGACTGGCAGCCTGTCTGTGGTGTGCCCAACCTTTCAGCAATTGGCAGCTGGGTTAGGCTCCAGCCCCTCCCTGAAATCCTGATTTAAATAAGCGAAAGAAAGTGGATGGATGGATGGATGAATGGAATACCAATAGAATTGACAGTAGATACTCCTCTTTTTTCTGATAGAGAACTGGGTTTCTCTGTTACTACCACACTTACTTCTTTGATCAATTTTAATGTTCTTCTATTGCAGTTTTAGCTGTTTGGGGTAGTCTGAAGCTCGCTGTTAACTTAGGTGAAGGGATGCACACAACTACTCCACTAGATATTTAAACATTAAGCAAATTATTATTATTATTATTATTATTAATGTACAACAATGTTTTTGTGTTGGTTTTAAAGCACTGTTTACACAGGACTTGCAGCAATGTCATGACCATAGATGATAGAAAGTCAGTAATATTTGGAGAAGAAAAGCAACAACAACAAAAAAACATTAGTGACGTGATGTAGGTAGGGTCCTAAGATAAACCTTCCTTATTTCAAGATGAACAATCGAAGCTACTGAAAACAAGATTGCAGGATACAATGCATTGGCAAATGACAGGGTAGTAAATACATTATTAGGTTACCAGAGGCAACCAGATTCTTAAGTGCCTATTACAAAACTAACCATCAGCTTCAGTGTTGTTGTTGGCTGGTGTTAGCTATTTTCCGATATATTGGTATTGGCATGTATATTAGATTATAAATGAACATTTAAAAAGTGGAGAAGAAATCACAGAAACACCAGCTGTGTTATTATGAGTAACAATGTAATCCACAAGCTTTGGGATAATTAAAACAAGATTATTTTTAAACAATGCTGTCATACTGTCTCAGTAAGGATTGTTAAACAAATACATGTAACAGATGTTAGGAAAATAGTTGATGTATGTTACAACTGTCTAGGTTTTGTATGTCAGAAAGGAAAAAAAATATTGGCTTATGTATGAGAGTTTTAAATAATCAAATATCGGTTACAGTATTGGTCTAAAAAAATCATGTATCAGTCAAGTTATAATCTATAGCAGGCTTTTTATCTTTTACACATGGCAGCAGATCATCCAAAAACAGCAACTCACTGTCTAATTTGCACTGGTTGTCCTTTATTATTCATTTTCCAAAATTTGATTGACCTGATTAAATTATTTTTAGGCATCATTTTTATTCAATTTAACTTGTCAGCATGTTACATCACATAAAAAGTGCTGTGAATTTCTTTTTTGAATGCCTTTTTTGTGTCTCTTTGTGCAGATGTCTTTAACCACCCACTCCTTCCTCTCATGTCTTTATTCACAGCCCCTCTGTTTTTGTGTCATCTCTTCATTTCAGATGCAGTTCATGCTTCTTTTCAGTCGGCAAGGCAAGCTTAGGCTCCAAAAATGGTACGTGCCTTTGTCTGATAAAGAGAAAAAGAAGATCACCAGAGAGTTGGTGCAGACAGTCCTGGCACGGAAGCCTAAAATGTGCAGCTTTCTGGAGTGGAGAGACCTTAAAATTGTGTACAAGAGGTGGGTAGGAACTGGACTTGTTTCTGAACAAAATGTGTTCTGGTTGAACGCCCTCAGAATAGAATATTTTCACACGTCCCTGGGCAATTCATAGGCCCGTCATTCATAGACATGGCTCTGCTGGGGAATCAGGAGAGTGTTACCAAAGAGATGAAGGCATCATCATGACAGCACTCAGACTACAACAAGAAAGAGCATTAATTTAGTCTCATTATATCCTGTTGCTGTGCCAACGGACAAGGAGGCAGACTGCTTGTGAACCGGAGTGACCCCACTGGGATGGACTAACAGAGCCCCTGAACTGCTGATCAGTCTGCAACCATTGCCCCACCACACAGATGTTTATGTCCTCAGTTAAATTCTCACTAAGTGTTAATAGTTCTTAGTATTTTTTTTACATATGTAAAAGATAGATGTAGCAAATGTGATATTACCCATTGGTTTAGGACATTTTGAAGGACCGCCGCTAGGATTTTGACCATCACTGTGTTGGGT